CCCCGGGACCGCGGCCCCTGCACCCTGGCGCGGATGGCGATGCGCAGCGCGCTGGCCCGCGTGGTGGACTCGACCTCGGAGCTGGTCAGCGTAGAGCAGACTCTGCTTGGGCCTCTCCAGCAGGAGCGGCCCTTCCCCATCCACCTGAAGGTGAGTTTGTCCTGCTGTCCTCTTGGCCTGCAGTTGCTGCTGGGTGGAGTGGAGCAGGGTGTGGTCAACCTGCCGGGGACGACGGGGAAGAGGGGGCAAAAGGAGATAAGCATTGAGGACTGGAATGTGGGACAGAGCTTAAGAACCAACCACCTGGGGTCTGCCTGACTGAGAAACTAGACCTAGACCTGGACCAGGACTTGTATGTGTGTGTGTGTGTGTGTGTGTGTGTGTGTGTGTGTGTGTGTGTGTGTGGTGTGTGTACATGTGTGTAGGGGGTGGAGTGCGGGATGAAGAGGAAGAAGTCTTGTCAAGATCTACTTGTCACATAAATCATTTTTTCTACCTGTGAAAGTCAGCCGCCCCTACTTCCTTCTCCCAGCTTATAACCTTAAGTACACTTTACGTCCCTAGCTGCATAGATTATGACGGCATCACCCGCGTTTATTTAAAGTTCCTGCACGCTGGTGAGTCACAGTTATTTTACATAAATCCAGTTCCTGATGGAGTGCAGAGACCTGATGGAGAACCTAAATCCTCATAAAGTGTGCTGAGGGCAGGGGGTCCCAGAAGTTGACAGGCTTGCTAATAGTAACAGGAACTCCTGCTGAATATGTATGGGGCAGAACTGGGAAGAGATCTGAGGTAGATTGGGGTCTAGGGTTTTGGGGTTCAGTCCTGGCCTTGCCATTACCTAACCTAATTGTGCTTGTTAGATTTTTATTAACTTGACACAAGCTAGGGTCACCAGAGAAGAGCAGGCTTCAACAGAGAAAACGCCTCGGTCAGACTGACTGTAGGCAAATCGGGGCGGGGGGGCATTTTCTGAACTAATGATTGATGTGAGATAGGAGTGGGGGAAGAGCTCACAACTCACGGGGCAGTGCCACCCTTGGGCAGCTCGTCCTGGGTTGTATAACAAGCCATAGGGAGCAAGCCAGTAACTATGGTTCCTCCATGTCCTCTGCTTCAGTTCCTGCCTCAAGTTCCTGCCCTGACTCCCTTGTGAAGGGCTATAAACTGTAAACTGAAATAAACCCTTTCCTTTTCAGGCTGCTTTTGGTCCTGGTGTTTATCACAGCAATAGGAAGCAAACTAGGTCTTAAGGTCTTAAGGTCACACCTTTTTGGGACCTGCTGGCTCTCAAGTTGTGGCCAGGAGCATCATTTTGTCTGTCACTTAGGAGTCCAGAGGAGACCGGGTGCTGAAGAGAGCTTGGTGCATTCCTTAAGGGTTGATGCTGTTCTTCCTCTATGAGCCAAAGTTTGGAAAACACGCACTATATTAAGTTGCATCAGCATCATAGTTTGTAAGACATTCAAATCAAACCTCACCAAGCAGTGTCTGATGCAGGGGTGTCTCTCTCTTCCTTCCCCCCTCAAGAAAAAGTTTAAATTCTGCCAGTGTGTGACTAGTATTGGTAGTGAATTACATACTGATTTCATTGAGTTTAAAATGTGAAAGAATGTGTATCTCAGAACTGATGAAATTTCAAGTGTCATGTAATATTAAAAACATGTTAGAAATACATATGGGTATTAGTAGCTTTTTGTCACTGTGACCAAAATATTTGGTCATATTGGTATTGGTGGAAATACTTTGAAAGAGGAGAAGTTTATTTTGGTTTAGTCTTTACTTCTTTAATTCTTTGATGACACTGGGGAGTGAACCCAGGACCCCACACATGCCAGGCAGTAATTCACCCACTGAATTATTTCCCCAGGGACAGATTTATTTTTGGCTTACAGTTGCAAAGAGATGTTGGTCCATCCTCTGGGGAAAAGCATGGTGGAACTGCTTCTTGGTGGTTGGACATCATGGGGACTTGAAAACAAGGAACAGGATGTGTAGGTGAGGGTTAGGGATGGTCTTTATTCTTCAAAAGCCTACCTCCACCACAAAGGTCCCACCCTCTTAAAGCTGTACGGCACTAACTCAAGTTGAGCCATTCACGGTAGAACAATCTAAACAGGAGCCGGGGGTGTTTTTCATATTCAAGCCCATAGCAGTGTGTTGTGGAATATTAGTTTAAGATGTGTTATATTTGTTTATGTTGTAGAATATTTGTTTTAATGATGCAAAGATGTGTTGCATTCCTCTATGTTGCTTTTGTTTAGCTCTGTAAAGCTGTGTTACTTTGCCTGTCTAAAACACTTACCTGATTGACCAATTAAAGAACTGAATGGAATGGCCAATAGTTAGGCTGGAGAGAGAAATAGGCAGGACTGGCTGGCAAAGAGACTAAATAAATAGGAGAAATCTAGGGAAGAGAGAGAGAAGGAGGAACGAGAAAAAGAGGAGAGGAGGATGCCAGGGGCCAGCCACCCAGCAACCCAGCCAGCCATGGACTAAGAAGGAAAGAAAGATATATAGAATAAAGAAAGTTAAAAAAGCTCAGAAGCAAGAGGTAGTTAAAGAGAAACGGGATAATTTAAGTCAGAAAAGCTGACTAGGGACAAGCCAAGCTAAGGTCAGGCATTTGTAAGTAAGAATGAGTCTCAGCTACAGTGTGATGTCAGATACGCAGAACACAGACAGGACAGCAGCTAGAGAAGCTGAATGAAGGATACGTGTTGCCCAAGGTAATCTATGAAGGCTGCTTGGGGGAAGCAACTTCTGTCTGTCTGTCTGTCTGTCTGTCTCTCTCTCTCTCTCTCTCTCTCTCAATGACTGTGTGCTTTCCACATTGGGAGATGCAGGGAGGCTATGTGATTTAAACACGAGCATCTATGGGGCTGGCAGCAGCGAGGGGTTTGGTTTGGAAGAAGGACAAAAGTGATTCTGAACACTTGGGACCGAGCAGGGAAAAGGACTGCTTGGCACCCTAGAACACTAGAGAGATCAGCCACAGATGGCTGGGTTTCGGTGTGAGTCAGGTCAGGGCTGATGTTCTGAGGAACAAGAACCCAAATATCTTCCTTTCCTGCTGAACTGTTGCATGTGGTGTATGTTGTGTGTGTGTGTGTGGTGTGTCTGTCTGTGTGTGTTGTATGTGGGGTGTGTGTATTGTATGTGTGTCTGTGGTATGTGTGCGGTGTGTGTGTGTGCTCTGCTATGTACATACATGTACATGTGGAGACCACAGATCAATGTCAGGGATCTTCCTCAGTCACTTGCTACCTTTTTTGGAGACAGGGTCTCTCATTGCACCTGAAGCTCACTAGTTTGGCCAGAGAGGCTGACTAGTAAGCCCCAGGCATCTTCTTGTCCCTGCTTCCTTGGCCCTGGAATTAGGTGGTATTACTGCTCACCTGGTGTTTTGCTTGCTGTGTTTTAACGTGGGCACTGAGGATATGAGCTCAAGCTCTCCTGCTTACCCAGAAAGCACTGCGCCGACTGAGCCAGCTCCCGGTTCTCCCGCCCACCTTTCTTATCATCTCAAACATAACATTTCCCTCCCATGTGTTCTTTCTTGTTCCACTGAGGTGAGTCCTTTGCTTGCCCCTATGTGTGCTTTCAACAGAGCAAAATACCCAGCTCTGTTGTATAAACCCTGTAGTTTAACCTATAAATTAGGTAAGTAAGGGATTAACTACAATAACTGAAAGTAAGCTAGAACACTCAGCAACAGTGCACACTGGCAAGTCATGTGAACCCTCTCTCTCTCTCTAATCTCATGGCACTGACCTCACCCCTGTGATGATGGCCCGGGACAATGCAATGTCTGCGTGTAGTAAGGTGAATGACAGAGGCCTTAGAACTTAGCATTAGGTGTTTACATAAGAAGTCATGAACACAAGCTCAATCAATGTAGTATCAGCGTTGGCTAAAAAGGAACTAATATACAACTTGGAGCCTGGGCAAAGGACTGATGAATATCCTGGGCAAGGTGCAAAGAGCCATTGCAAGACTACACCACACTACAATACTGCTGAAGAAATACAAGTTCACGGTCGTCAGTAGCCACAGCTAGGGAACTGCTTGTTACTTGAGACAAAACCATGCTTTTATGATCCTATGGCTAGTTTATTTGCAATTTTGTAATGGTTTATAACAGAGAGAACACGAAAGCATTCTGACATGAAATTTTGGGGAAAGAGACCAGAAGCCTCTAAGATAGAGTTTTGCTTGACTGCTGGGCAGGAACTTTACAGGGTTTGAGCGTCTGAGTCTTGTTGGGACTCATCACGAAAGCGCTTTTCACCGGACTCTCCCCCTGGTAAACTGTGTCATACCCAATGCGAAAGCATGAAGAGGCTTCAACATGACCCTCCACAAGTAAAAACCATGAATTTCCTGTGGACGACAGAGTCTATGGTGGTGGTATGCACTCAGGTTTCCCACTGCATGTTTCGTTGATGCACAGTTATGTATCTGTTTGAGTGTGGCCTTGGGCTCAGGGCCTTGTGCACTTGGAGGTACACAGCTGCTGATGAGTCAGGTGAGGTTGGAGAGTTCCCAGCTGTCCACAGTCGTCCTCTCCGGCAGAAAGCATTGTTCCCATCCCACTGATGCATGTCCTGTGGAGAATCCTGATGGGTCTGGAGTCATGTTTGTGGCTAGCACTGCCCTGGGTTGCAGAAGAGGAGCTGGTGTGCTAGCTAGACAGATGGTTAAGGGTAAGGTGTTCCCCCAAGAGACCCAGGAAAGGTTTGCTGTTTTCTTCTCCCTCTGCCTCTGCCCCTGCCCCTGTGTTTATCTCTGTCTCTGAGTTACCCCCTCACCATTTTCTTTGCCTTCCTGTCTGCCTCTCTTCCTGTTCTTCCGGCTCTCTGTGGATAGTGTTAGGATGGGATTTAGGGGGAAAACAAGAAGAAAGGTGCTCATGAGGCCATTGGAACTCCAGCTCGGGATGTGGCCATCTTGAGTGAACTTAACTCTGACATCAATAGGCTGCCAGCCTAAGTTATGCAGATCTCTAAGTGACTTTGGAGGTGACATGGCAGGTGAAAACATCACCTTTGGGACTTGAGGCGATGGGTCAGTGGTACAGTGCTTACCCGGTACATCTAGGATCTTTCTTTCCTCCCATGTAAAAATGGTAGTGTGTGTCTGCAATTCCATATGGGGAGGCAGAAACAGGAGCATCCCTGAAGTTTTACAGCCAACTAGTCCAGCTGAATCAATGAGCTCCAGGATCAGTGGGAAACGGCGTCTCAAATAAGAATGGGGTGGGACTGGAGAGATGACTCAGAAGTTAAGAGCACTGCCTACTGTTCCAGAGGATTTGAGTCCTATTCCCATCACCCACAGGGCAGCTCACAACCATCTATCACTCCAGTTTCAGGGTATCTGGACAATCTCTTCTGACCTGTATGCATGTAGTACACAGACATACGTGCAGACAGAACATCAGCACATGCAAAAATATAAATGTATATTTTCAAAAGGTGGAGGGATAGGGAGACAGTTCAGTCAGGAAAGTGTTGTATAGGCATAGGAAAGACCTGAGTTCAGATCTCCAGAACCCAAGTAGAAGCCAGACAGCATGGCATGTGCCTGTAAGCCCAGTGCTTGGCTGGGTAGAGACAAGCAGATGCCTGAAGTCCATTGGCTGCCCGTCTAGCCAACTGATGAGTTCAGGTTCACACACACACACACACACACACACACACACACACGGAGAGTGATTGAGGAAGATACCTGACATCAATCTCTACCCTCCACACACATTTTCACACACACACACACACACACACGAACACATACGCACATCCACTTGTAGGTTGTTTAAGCATCATCTGCCTTTGAGAGCCCGTGACATCACACGTACTTCTGGATTTATTCACCATCAGTACTGCTTTCAGAAAGCAAGCCCCGAAGCTCCTGCTGACAGATGCCTCCTGTCTTCAAGACTCAGTTCCGCAAGGAGTGTTTATTTTCTGCAAGATTCTTGAAAGGGCTCGACTTCTCCCTTTTATGGGCATTGCAAGTGCAAAGAACCTGAAGCCATCCTTCCTTTCAGGTTTAAAAAAATACTGTTCAAACATTCCAGACATATACATTATTAATAGATGCAATATCCAATGCAAGAAATCCCCAAGAGATCTCCTTCATACTGAATGGGAGCGCAGAGCTGAGGAAGGGAGAATGCCCCTGGGCAGGCCACTGATTAGTAGGGTGGCAGAACCATCGTGTTGGTGGCTATTGCTTTACTCTTGAGAGAATGGGCTTTGCCTGCTCAGAGGGAGGCCCATCTTGATACCCATGACGCCCTGAGTGACATAGTCACAGGTGCTGGGAAATAATGTTACCTTTGGAGAAGGCTACTGTTTTACCATTACAGGAAAGAGTTTTGATGATAATAATAATAATAATAATAATAATAATAATAATAATAATAATAAATAACAGTTGTTTTAAAAATTGTCTTAGTCTGGAGAGTTGGTTAGTGGGCATGCAAGCCTTGGGATCTGAGTTTAATCCCCAAACCTGTGATGGAAGGAGAGAATGGACTGCCAAAAGTTGCCCACCCACCCCCAACCTCCACATGTACACATCAGTGTGTGCACATGTGGGTTACCATGTGTGTGTACACAAACATATATACACATCATAATACACTTACAATAATGATAAATAAATGAAACTGTACTCTTCTTGAAGTAATTTCATTGTATGAACATGGGTTTCTCTAATGTATCTGCATGGACTTTTGACAGCAACATGGGGCACACAGTAGAAAGGACTCACCCAGCTTTGTAGGGACCTTGGACTGGGCACTAGTTCTAAGTGTGTCAGAGTCTGTTCTTCAAGAGGATAGAATCTCTGCAGTTTTCCCATGGACCTCTGCCATGTCCCATGTGGCTTGGACCCAGGAACCATGGTTAAAAACAGGGAGAGAATAAGCAAAAGTTAAACAGATACATTTCGAGCAAACCTGTTGGTTACCTTGACCTGGAACTGCAGTATGTTTGTATGTTTGTTAGGTACAGTGCAGGGAGAGGAGTGAGCTAGTCCCGTCTCTATAGGCAAATAGTCTCAGGCTATGAACATCTGGAGGAAGAAGTCACAGTTGATAGTCTTTACATACACTGACCCATGGTCCATAAAGCCTCATATATATATATATGTGTGTGTGTGTGTGTGTGTGTATGTATATGCATATGTATATATGTATGTACACACACATACATATATATACATATATATATGCATGCATACATGCATGCATACACAAACACACACACACATATATATAATCTCCGGAGAGAGTTTTCCTACCCATCTTGAGCTTGGTCCTTGTGGTTAGTGGCTTTGCCAATTGTCCCATACATCCAAGGCCTTGGGAGTGCCCCACAGACCATGCCCATGTCAAAATACACACTCACCCAGGGCTTCCACCTCACACTACGGAGCTTCTCAGTTTTCATTGTATGTTTGGACGGATGCTCGTGTGCCCGTTCTCCTCGCTGCTTTGTCGGTTCTTTAGAGACAGGGAAACATGTCTCCGTGACTTTCTCCAGTGTAGTCACGTCACATAGCTTGATGCACATTTTAAAATAAATTTGCTACTTTATTAGCTGAGTTAAACAGGGTTAGATTTAGTTAAGACGTGGGAGGAGAATCTTTACCATGGTGCCTTCAGTTTGGACCGCTGTAGCTGTCAATGCATTTCATAGGCAGAGTCTGAATTACAAAATACTTTAGATGCTCCCCAAACTGTTTTCGGTGGCTCGGGTATCTGGTTCTAACTCTGGCAAAGTGCTCAAAGCGCTGCCGGATATTGCATCATTTTCTGGGAGCACCTGGGACTTCCCATATAACAGTCACAGGAGACTATGGTTTGTCACTGAATGGAAGGCACCGAGAGTGAGATCATGGCCAGTATTGATCTTGTGTGTTTCTACTGAAAGCCACAAAGCATTTAATGAGCCTGGACCTTGTGTCTTGGGATTCCAGTCTTCCCCAGCAGAAGCAGCGCTAAGCTGATTGAAGACAGTGATTGGTGTATTCAGAGTTGGCACTTAGTCCTAGAAAGGAAGATATCTTCTTCCTTGCTCCTATATCCACCTTTCCTCCATCTCAACCATCCCACTCCCCCAAGCTCTCCCAATCCTCCCCTTCTCCCTTCTCTTTCCCCCTCTCCCCTTCCCCCACCTCCATCCCCACCCCTCTGCTCCCAACTTTTGCCCGGCCATCTTGTCTACTTCTAATTTCCAGGAGGTTAAATATATGTCTTTCTTTGGGTTCACCTTATTATTTAGATTCTCTAGGATTACGAACTATAGGCTCAATGTCCTTTGTTCATGTCTAGAATCCACTAATGAGTAACTACATACCATATTCATCTTTTTGGGTCTGGGTTATCTCACTCAGTAAAGTGTTTTCTATTTCCATCCATTTGCGTGGTGGTGACTTTCTTTATGATTCTGCAGTGTGGGTTGCCCCATCAACTATAGGAAGATGATTCTGGAAGACCCTGGCACCTTCTGAGCAGAGTCAAGAAACACATGAAGGTAGAAAGGCGAAAGTACTTAGCAGATAATTAAGACAAGTGCTGTGTTTGTGCATACTGGCATCCAGGGACAACAGTACACTCTCCTGCCTCAGCTCCAGGCTCTCACACTGGCCCTCTGCACTGCAGTAAATTCTACTTGTTTTGTTTCTTAGGAAATGCTGAAAAATAAGCAGAAACTCAAATCCTTTTTTCTTAAGTGACAGTGCTTTCTTTGGAAGAAAATAGTTTCCTCTTCTATACAGCATTAGGAAGAAACGTTGGCCCCTTATTCTCTTAGTGACTAAACAGAGTCACCATGACTAAGTAAACTTCTAAAAGAAAGAATTTTGGGGGGCTTACAGTTAGAGGTGAGTCCATGACCACCACAGTAGTGAGCATGGCAGCAGGCAAGCAGGCATGGTGCTGGAGCAGTAACTGAGAGCTTACATGTTGAGGCACTGATGAGGCAGAGAGAAGAGCTAACTGGAAATGGTGTGGCCTTTTGAAACCTCAAAGCCCACCTCCGGTGACACACTTCCAACAAAGCCACACCTCCTCATCCTTCCCAAACAGTTCCACCAACTGGGGACCAGGTTTTCCATTATATGATCTTAGGGGCCATTTTCATTCAAATCACCCACTCCCTAATCTTGCCATTGAGAAGATGAGCTGCCCCACTTATTTCTCTCAACTTGAACTGTGATTTTTGTATGACACAGACTTCCAGATGTGTGATGATATGCTCCATGATAACATGCTGGCATCCGATTCCACAAAACATTCCCTATGTGTTTCAGACAGTGTCTGTTTTACTATTTCCATTGATTCAAACCAGTCTTTTCCAATCTGTATAGTTTATGCTGCATGATTTATTTTGTTGCATGATCTACCAGTTTGGACTCTTAGGTTTTTTTGAGATAGGGGTCTCTCTGTGAAGCCCAGACTGGCCATTTCTGGAGGCCATGTCCATTGCATTGTAAACCCTACAGTAGAATCTTGAGCATGGTAAACACTGAACAGTAAGAAGACAGGCTATTTGTGTATTTGTCACAGCTCTTTTAGGAACAATAACAAAAATTTGGCTTCACCTAGCTCCAGTATAAATGGTCATTCATTAACTCAGCTAGATGAGCAATCCTGAAGTTCCCTGTTCGAGTGTACCTGGATCCATATAGTCAAGAAAGTTGATTAGAGTCAATCGCTTTTAATCTCTTTCATCTACCTCTTGGTTTTGGAGACATCTTCCTTAGTACTTTGTCCTAAAGGTTACAAAATGTTCCCAAGTAATCCCAATGAAAGAGTTTCTCTCTTCTGGTCCAGTAGCAGTGGGACCAGTGACATTCATTGGTCACCTGTACCTGACCAGGTCACTTGACTGGGTGTTGCTCTGCCCATCGCTGATCTGTTCATTTGACTGGGCGCGGTGCCGTCTCATGGACCCGGAGATGGGATTGGATCAGTTTTGGTCAAACCACCCTCCTATAACTAAGAATGGAGGGGGTAGTTCTCTGAGAAACCATCGATCTAATGTCCCGCCTGTTTGCTGTTCATTTCAGGATAGTGTTGAGTTCAGAAACATCTGCAGTCACCTGGCTCTACAAATTGAAGGACAGCAGTTCGACAGAGACTTGAATGCCGCGCACCAGTGTCTGAAGACCATAGTGAAGAAGTTGATCCAGTCGCTCACCAATCTCCCATCGGATGCCCATGTGGTTGCCTGTGCTTCCTTGAGACAGATCTTACAGAATCTCCCAGATGTGTGAGTGTGGGAGACAGCCAGTCTACAGCTGGCCATGCTGAGAGACCCGGATCCTTCGCCTTCCGAACCAACTAGCAGTGATGGTTGTTTATGTTCCCAAAAGGACTTGATATTTCATGTCTAAGTCTGACCACGCGCGCCTGTAGCCTTCAGCATGACAGCATGCGAGTGCACATATTTTTAAAGCTGTAGTGAGTGTTTTTAAAGTATGTTGGCTTACTGCTGATTTTCTGACTGCAATATATTTCTCTCTGTGGAGCTAATCGGATTGTATATATATGTATATATTTATTAACCACAGTAAGCATTGGGTTTGACTGAGTGATATTTGAGTCTATATTTGTATTATTGTGGGCGATAAGGCTCAGTGCGGATGTGTATAGTAGAAGGACCATAGCTCTCGTCACATTATGGGGAATGAATGGGACATTTAGTAACTGACATTTTCTGTTTGCCGGGCACTTCATTATAGGCAGTGATGGTGCTCTTTAGCTGTAGAACTACAGGTATCAGCATTGTGGGTCCAGCCCCGACATTTGTCATTCTTCACTGTGCAGGAAGCGCTGCTTCTAAACCTTGCACCACCGTGTGCTGATCTGTACATTTGAAATGATAAACTATGGGCCACCAAGCTTATATGACATGTAAATATAAGTACATATGATTAAAATCTCAATGTGGAACCATCCAACTTCTCTTACTGCTTTTAAAAATCGCAGGGGAGACAGGAAGGAGGGAGTGGGCGCTCTAGCACTTCCCCTTAAGTGATCCGCCATTGGAGTCTGGAGAGAGAAGATGGTTTCATGCTTATTTCTTGGTGACAGTCATCTGCACACGCTTCCTATTGTTCAATGATGGCTATCCCTGGAGCTCAGAAGGGCCTTGCTGGGCCGCAGACGTCTATTGTGGGAACAGCATCAGGTTACGAGGGGGGAAGATCACAGTGGATACGAATGGCTTGCTTTGGAAAGAATTAATGACTGGTCAGTGTGGTGAGGTGTGTCTGTGTAAACTGAGTGTTAGTGATAAGCAAAGCCTCTTTTATTGAAAATATTGTTTTCATACAACAGATTCCCGACACTGTTTCCCCTTTCGTCTCCTCCCAGATAAAACATAAAACCCTAAACCATATTATATAAGAAAAGACCAATAAGATTAAAAAAATGCCCAAACAAAGTATCCAAGGCAAAGAATCTCCAAAAGTACCACTGAGTTTGTTTCATGTGGCCATTTACTGCTAGACATGGAACCTGCCATTAAATGTGCTTGTATCAGTGAGACTCCATGGGAGAAAGTCAATTTTTCCTTTGTTAATTTGTGAATTGAAATGTGATCTTCTGTGCACTTCCTTCTCTCAGTGTTGGGACCCCATTTGACTTGGACCTGTGTAGAAACTCTGCATGCTGCCACAGCCTGTGCGCGGTCAGTCCTGTTGTGTCTGGAAGACACTGTTTCCTGGGAGTCATTCGTTCCCTCGAGTTCTTAAAATCTCTCTCCCTCCTCTTCCACATATTTCCCCAAACCCTGAGTGGAGAGGTTTGATGAAGACATGTCACTTAGGACCAAGTGTTCTGAAGTCTCTTGCTCTCTGCACATTCTCTAGTTGTGTGCCTCTGTATTAGTCTCCTTCTCCTATAGAAGGAGGCGTCTCTGATGGTGGCTGAACTAGACACTGACCTATGGTTACAGTGGAATGTTGCTAGGAGTCATGTTATTGCTATGTTCCTTCTGCAGAGTGATAGTATTCGGTTTGCTTTAGGTTCCCGGCCTATCTAGCATCAGGGTCTTGGCTACCCACTCAGTAACAAGTAGGGTTTCATCTCATGGAACGGGCCTTACATCTACTCAGATACTGGTTGCTTGCTCTCCCATCTTTTGTGCCACTACTGCACCAACACACCACATAGTTAGGTCACCATTGTAGACTGCAGGATGTGCAGTTGGGTTGCACACTAGTCAGTAGGGGTGAAGGCTCTAAGTAGGCACCAGTTCCCCTTCTCCATGTTGAGTGAGATATACAAGTGTTGTCTTCATCAACAGGGCCTTTTTGTGATAAGCATCCAATAGCCTTGACAACAGCTTGGGTTGCTTGGGAGTTGACATGGAACCCTTTGGCCAACAACTCAATTAGATGTAACCCACTCCTGGCACCTTTCACTTGGCGGCAAGAAATGTCTAGTTGGGGCTTCCCCCTACACCCCTATTATTTGGCGACTCCATTTAGATTTCTTTCATATATGTATTTATTTTAAGAAGCTTCTACTCTGGTAGGTTTCCATATGCTTCCCCCTCAAATGGCCTCTAGTATTAGCTGTCTTTCCCTGTATGGCCTTCTTTATTTCCTTCTTCCCTTCCCCGTTATGTTTAATCCTCCCATTCCCGTTTCCCCCATCTCACATGTGGTGGTTTGAAAGAAAATGGCCCCCATAGGCTCAGAGGGAGTGGCACTAGGAGGTGTGGTCTTGTTGGAGTAGGTGTGGCTTTGTTGGAGGAAGTGCACACTAAGGGGCGGGCTTTGAGGTGTCAGAAGCTCAAGCTGCTACCTGAAGATCTGGATGCAGAGCTCTCAGAACCTTCTCTAGCACCATGTCTGCCTGCACGCTGCCATGCTTCCTGCTGTGATGATAATGGACTAAACCTCTGAACTATATGCCAGCCCCAGCTAAATGTTTTTCTTTGTAAGAGTTGCCATGGTCATGGTGTCTCCTCACAGCAATAAAACCCGAAGACACTAAGACACTCCTAACTATATATACTATTTCCTTTTCCTTGGGAGATCCTTCCCTCCTCACTGGTCCCTTACTATGTAATTAATCTCTGAGGTTATAGGGTTTGTAGCATGCCTATTGAAGGATTAAGAGTTATCATCTTCTTAACCCTACTGCATGTATTGGCTTTTTGATATCCTATTCTCTTTGGATGTATACCTTGCTCAGCCTAGATACAGTATGGAGGGCCTTGGACCTTCCACAAGGCAATGTGCCTTACCCTCTCTGAGGATTAGATGGGGGTGTGTGGGAGGGTGTGTGGAGGGAATGGGAGGAGGGGAGGGAGTGGGAATTTTTGGTATTTTTTTTAAAAAATTAATTAAAAAAAGTTAACATCCACATATAAGCGAATACATGGTAATATTTTTCTTTTGGGGTATGGGTTAACTAAATCAGGATGATTTTTTTCTAGCTCTATTAATCTACCTGTGAATTCCATGATTTTTTAAACAGCCATGTAATATGCTATTGTGCAAACGTACCACATTTTCATTGTCCATTAATTGTTGATGGACATCTAGGTTGTTTCCAATGTCTGACTATTAAAAATAGAGTAACAATGAACATAAATGAAAAAGTGTCTCTGTAGTAAGGTGTAGACTCC